CAGCATCAGTTACCATGGCGATCTGACTGTGCAGCATCAGTTACCATGGCGATCTGGCTGTGCAGCATCAGTTACCATGGCGATCTGGCTGTGCAACAAAGACTAACAGATGCTGAAAGACGCACGGCTCCACTCACCTGCCGTCACGCAGAGCAGACAGCCGACGAGGACGAGTTCCCAGAGAACAGCCATGACTGCCACTGCTGCAGAAAGAAGGTTTAGTTTCACTTTCCACTTGCTGTAAGAAGAGCAAGGGAGGGGGAGGGGTCAGGGAGGGGGGAGGAGTCATGTGATTTCCAGTAAAGGGTTTGGATTCAGCTGAGTCGGTCACAGGTCTGCAGCAGCTGTTCATGTTCATCACTGCATTTAAAAAGAAACAGAACAGAAATAAACAAGCGGGCCGACAGCCGCCTGCGTAACCTTCAGCCTGAAGGTCCGAACAGCGTCTAAAGCCGGACTGTAGGAGACACTCAGACACTCACGGCTGTTTCCAGGAAATCAGCTGTTTAGCAGAAACAGTGTGAGTTTATAGTTGACCAGCAGATGTCAGCAAAGAGGCAGAAGGACTGAAGCCTGCAGCAGCGAGGTCACGGCCACAGTGACGGCTGAGCCGACCCAAAGCTCACCCAGGAAAATGTTGTGGCAGCACCATCTAGTGGCTGTTTTAACTCATTACAGGAGCCAATCAGAGCGTCAGCTCTGAGAGGCATTTCTGAAGATGGAACTTTGTTAATCCCAAAGAAAGTGATTCCTCCAGAGGAAAGAAACACACAAGATTAAAATCAGCAAAGCAGAAACAGCGTCACAGGCCACAGTCAGCTGAACGAGACCGACAGAAGGAGTGGAGATGCTGAGGTGGAGGAACATCACCCAGCTTCCTGTTTGTCACTTTGTGTGTCGCTGCTGGTCTGAGTTTCAGGTGTGAGCGGTTTAACCACGACGCAGGAAGTACAGCCGGCCCCTCAGCAGGGACATGCTAAGCTAACGGGCCAGAGACACACCAAGTGGAGCGAATCGGACCTGAAGCAGAGACGGACTGAACCGCTCCTCAGCGACGCAGAACCATCTCAGTTTTTAGTGTATTTATGGTGATTCTGATGAAACATTACAGACTCGAGCTTTGATGTCGATCATGTTTCTGGTGGTTCTGTTTCTATAGTCTCTATCTGGGTCCTCCTGGTGATTTATTTCTGCCCTTTAAACCCAGTGTTGTGGTTTGGAGGGCCTATAGTCAAGCATAACCCGACAAACAGACAGAAGAGGCTCAGCATGAACCGGCGTCTGCCCTTTGCAGTCTTCATGTCACACTCTGCCCCTGACACGTCGCCGTCCTTCCTGGCAGCAACACATCACCTACACGACGTGTGAACGGCCTCAAACCACGAGCTGACTGGAAAGACCAGACCGCTGCTGCTGCTGCTGACGGGAAACACAGGAACTCATCAGTGCCTCAGCGTTCTCCTCACAGCTGTAGCAGTGTTTCCTCTCATCGTGTCCTGCTCCAGACAGGTGACTGGCAGCTGGAGAGTTTGCTCAGCGTTCAGGAGGAAGATCTGAAACCCGCCTGCCTTCTCTGTGCGAGTCTGCAGGATGGATTTGTTCCTCTTTAGCTCACGTCTGTGCTAACAGTCTTCACTTTGTCTTCGGCTGCTTCACAGAAACCCTGGCAGCGCTGTGTGGAAGAAGGAAGGAAGTGGCCTCACGTCAGTGGAGTCGAGTTGATTTCAGCAGACGTCGGGTGAGATGGAGCCTCTGAAGCTGCTGCTGCTCGGTGAGTAGAATCTGTTGGACTATCAGAGTGTTGGGCTGGTGGAGGAGCAGCGACTCTAAAAACTAAACACGGTGGAACAGATGTTTGACTTTGTCTGTATTTAATATAAGAAAAGAGCAGATTGGTCTCCTGTGATCAGCTGGTCTGAATGTCTGACGGGTTCTGTTCAGGAGGGACTTTACAGGAACGCTGGTGTCGACCTGCTCAGGTCCTACAGACTTCAGGTTTGTATACTTAAAGTCTCTGCTGCTGGAGCAGTGATGCTATCTACAGTCAGGAGCAGAAGGTTCCTCCACTATGAAGTCCATGTTCATCAGTCAGTCTCCAGTCACTCCCAGAACTCTGGATGTTCTCTGATGGAACCATTGGATCATGAATCTTTGTCACATTAAACAATCCTGGATTCTGGTTCTTTCATAGGTTTATCAAAGGTCTTCTGGAAACATCACAAAACCTGCTGGATCATAAATAAACATACAGCCCTTCTAACATCTGGTTAAACGT